CCTCAAAGGACCTTGTCAGCCAGTCTATGTGATGGTTTTTTCCTTGGAACTGTGCATATCGGAACCTCGTTCGGATGTTAGAGCAAATTTACTCTGACTCTGGACCTCGGGGCCATAATTTCGCAGTTACTGGTAATGTTTGTTAGGTCCGCTCTCGTTAGCGTAATTTGCCGATGATGACCCCGGGAAGGTTCGGTGAGCATCGTAGCTTTTATGGCATACACTCCTAAGTACCAATTATGTCAGCATGCTGCAACCCTTTGACGAAGCTGGGGTCAAGATGAATTTAGTAGCGCCAGCGCGAGTGCGTTCCGCATCTAATGGCTTATGTGTGTCCTTTAGTGGTGTTTACTTTGTAGACTGGGAAATTCTGGTACAGGTGCGATCAAAACACGTGCTCTGTGTGAAGGGATGGAACTGTCTAAAATTTCGCATTCAGGAGCAGTGCCTCGGACTTATTATGAAAACTTCCGCTCTCTTGCATAAATTATTCCCTATTACGTTGAGGTTGGATTTTTGCTGCCAGAACCAGTAGGGCTGTAAACAGTATACTTGTATGCGTATGTTGTGCTAACGGCCGACTGGAGTCCAAACTTGAACTGACATTGTGACCGTGGAAACGGCTATCAGTCGGTCATTTGACTGCTGCTACACCCGTCGCGCTTTACAACGATAGCCTAAGGGCATAGCATCTGAGCACAAAATCCCTGACTGTTCTGTTTCGTTTGCTCCCCCTCAGCCCTTTTGCGACAATGGGAATTATCTAAACTATGTTAGCTCTAAGCAATCCTCAGTTCTGACAGCTACCAATCTCCTGTAAGGATATATAGCAGCTACCTCGACTTTGTCACCTCACAAATTCTGAAAGGAGTAAGTGAGCTTTTAGTCCAGAATTAAAGGTTCGTGCATTCTGCATTACTAGACACTACCCAACGTTTCAATGAGATTTCCCATCTAGGACGAAATACAGTACAGAGATAATCGTGTGCGGTTCCAGCAGTTGATCGAAAAGCAACACTATGATTTCAGACTATGTATGCCTTTTACAGTTTGACTACACCAGCAGTGTTTCCGTTCATTAACACATGCTCCGCTGACAATCTTACGCAGGTTTAGTTTACTGAACTGGCGGTCTCAGTAACTTTATTTCGTGCAATTACTTTCTTTGCATACCCGAAGACCACTCTCTAACGCGGATCGACGGGAGAAACAGGGTAAAGAAGTAGTAATAACTTGTTTGGCAGAGGTCGGCATCCTTAATTCAAAAAAAATGTCGGCAACATACTGTCGAAAGCACCGACCAATTCCGCCTGCTGTACCCCTTACTCCATGCTCTTGCCCACCTAGGCCCTGTATTTGCCTTGGTATTTGGCCATCCACGTATGCTATCAAGGTTTTTGCGCAAAGTAGGATGACGGTCTGGGTATAATTTGTCCCAGCTGGGGTTTGTAGTGGTTTGTATTGACAATATACCGCTAGAGAGTGCAGGCAATGTCGCATAAATATTAGTTCTCGGAAGCCCTCTCGAGTTTGTTCATTCTCATGCCGGCTGGGCTAAGCAACCCATTAAACAGCTGCTAGGCTAAGGTAGCTGCCATTCTCCCCTACCGTTGGCCGATAACTTTTTGTCTGCCGTATTCTGTCTCTTCATTTTTGTTTTATTTATGCAGGTTTTGCCCTCTCTACCATTAGTTCACTTCCACCAGCACCTGTCATGTTTCCTGACCAACTATGCACTTTTTTGCTGCCTGGTCTATTGCGGCTTTAAGATCTGATCGCGTAGGCACTACGCTCCAGGTATTAACCACTATAGAGCCTATAACCTCCTTAAGTTGCCGTCTCTTTTGACTTGCCGAAGGAGCGTCGTGGTGGAGGCAACACCAGTGATGAAGAGTTTGAGCGTCAGCTGGTTGAGGCGGAGGCAGTGCAAGACGAGGAGCGAGAACGCCGTCGCCAGCGTCTTGATCGGCGACGTGTTCAGAAGATCCACGTCAGTTCATCGGCTCCGAACCTGCAACTCAGGACATCCGCTTCAGCAGGTGGTGGCAAACCGGTGATACGTGGCGGCGTCACCCGTTTCCCACTGATGGGTGGCAACAAGACCGCAGAAGATGGCTACGAAACTGATCATCAGGACTACTGCGATGTCTGTCAGCAGGTAAGACCAGAATTCCTGCGCTGTTTTTAGCTCACATTACCAGTCTCTCTATCTTTAAAGTTCAAGTCTGCCACCCTTTCTTGTTTCGTCTTCTTTCTCATTTTAATCGTCATCATCAACAGTGACCACGCGGCTATCGCCCGTCCTCCGAATTCTTTTTCAATTGTCCCTGTCGACTGGTCTATCCGGTTGCTACCTGTCGCCAATACTATGTTATATTAGGACTAGATTTGTAGACATTAACACTCGATGATGAACGTTCACCGACTGCTAGCAGAACTCCCTCATCCCGTTCTGCCTTTAGGCTCATTCTCGAGCTCTGTTAGCAGGCGCACAGCGGCTAGTAATTAAAAAGATAAACTTTGCCGGCAAAAAAACAGGGGAGACTGGAGTGGCCATCAGACTGGGCTCGTCAGTCAGTCAAACTCAATCCCAAGTGATGCTCCATCCGGTGCTCGAACCCATGACTTTCTGATGAGAAGTCTAACGCTCTACTCATTGAGCCGCGGACTCGTTGTCTTGCTATCTGCCTAGACTACTAGTCGCTGTGCGGTCGCTGGCGGGGCTCGAGAATGAACCCCAAGCTAGAGCTGGAAGAATGAGTTTCGTTAGTGATCGGTGAAGGTTAATCAACGGACGTCAAAGGGTTCTGTCCCTTACCATGTACTCGTAGACAAAGCTCGCTAAGTGGCAACGAGAAAGTCTGTATCCTTAGCCCATCCTTGTCTCTATATGGGGTTGTTGTTTTTTGCTGCGATGCGTCAGGTGGAGTATGCATTATCCAAGCAGTTTATGACGCCACTTATGGCGCAAATACTTAACTTTTATCTTTCCTTATCTACCCTCAGTTCCCCTTTTGTCATAGGACAGAGACAAGGAACCCTGAAATAGCCATTTCTGGTTTATTAGCTGTCATCGGCCAGTAATACCCAGCCCGAGGCTCGAACCCGTGACCTTTTGATCAGACGTCCGACCCCTAGCCACTGGCTGATGTTGGCTAATGAGTCAGAAATGTCCATTTCAGTTTCCTTGTCTTTGCCGGCAATTTTATCTACCTAGACTACTTGCTACTGTGTAGCTGCTGGCGGGGCCCTCGAATGAGCCCAAAAACAGAAAGGCACGAGTGAATGAGTGCCATCAGCGATCGGTGAACGTTAATCAACGAGCGTCCAAGCC